GGGGGCCGGCTTTCTTGTCCCCTCCTCTCTCTCTCTCTCTCTCTCTCTCTCTCTCTCTCTCTCTCTCTCTCTCTCTCCCTCTCCTGTGCTCAGATCTGGGCCGACCCTGGGAAGTACGCCCTGATGGGAGCCGCCGCGCAGCTGGGTGAGTCGCCCCGTGCTGCGATTCTTGGCCGTCTCCTGCCCGTATCGTAGGGAAGGCGGCATGGCGAAACCGGCCTCTGCTTCCCTGGCGCAGAGCTGAGACGTAGCCCGGGCTACGAGTGTTGCTAAAGCTCGACCCCGTCGTCGTCTTCCTAACGACGCTGCCAAGCCCCAGCAGGGCTGGTCAGAGCCGCTCCGTGCCCGGGGTGGTGCCTGGCCCAGCGCAGAGCTTCTAGATGCTGCGGGGCCGAGGTCCAGTTTGGCCTGGGCTGTCCCCGATCTGCCCCGTTTCTCCATGGCTGTGTGGGCGCTCAGCGCCCTGGTTCCTGCCTCCACAGCCAAGAGCAGAGGGCTATGTCCCCGGGGCAGCCGGGCCTGCTGCCCGGTTGGTGCAGGCAGTCCCAAATCCCTGCGCAGAGTTGGAGGGGCCTTGGGCACTCCCCTGTCCCCTCGCCCCGTGTCCCTCTGCCGCGCTAACGCCCAACCCCTTGGGCGCTTCTCCCAGGTGGGATAGTGCGGATGACGCTGAGTCTCACGGTCATCATGATGGAGGCGACGGGCAACGTCACCTACGGCTTCCCCATCATGCTGGTGCTGATGACGGCGAAGATTGTGGGTGACTACTTCGTGGAGGTGAGGGCTGGCCGCACTCGCCGGGAGCCTGGTGCCGGGCAAAAGGCTGTGGGTGAAGGTTGGGGGGGTGCTGGAGGGCTTTGGGAGCCCGGGGACCAGTGACAAGCTACCAGTGAGGATTTGGGGTATTGCAGAGCCATGGAGCAGCTGTGGGTCAGGTTGTGGGTGCGGAACCGGGATGCCGGGACAAGCATGCTCCCTCTCAGTGGGGAGATGCTGTCTGGCTGCTCCCCCTTCCAGTGTGTGGCCAGGCCTCTCCTGATGCCCTGGTCTCGCCTTGCAGGGCCTCTACGACATGCACATCCAGCTGCAGAGCGTGCCCTTCCTGCATTGGGAGGCCCCAGTAACGTCTCACTCCCTCACCGCCAGGTAGGTGGCCTGGGGGATGTCTGGGGCTGGGTCCTTCTGCCCTCGCAGGGCACTGGGCCCCTCTGACCACGCTGGCGACGTCCACTGGAAGTGGAGGTGGTGATGTACAGGGATGGCGATGCCTGTTGACCCATGGTGCCACCGCGCCAGGCCCTTCCCCAGTCGGCAGCGTGGACCACCATGAGTTCCCTCCCTGGTCCCTGGCAGGTTGTGCAGGATGAGAAGGTGTCAGGGCTGTGGCAGCCGAGCTCTGGCCTGTGGGTGGGTGGGTGAATTTGGGGCATGCAGCCACGGAGCTGTGTTTAACACCACCCCTTCCCCGCAGGGAGGTCATGAGCACCCCCGTCACCTGCCTGCGGAGGATTGAGCGGGTGGGCACAGTCGTGGACGTCCTCAGCGACACTTCCTCCAACCACAACGGTTTCCCCGTGGTGGAGAGCAACCCTGACGCCACACAGGTGGGCCAGGTGCCGGGGGCGGGGGGGGCGCAAAGCTATGTGAGGGTTGACCTTGGGGTGGTGCCCCCCAGGTGTCACGTGTGGCGTCCTGCCAAACTCCCTGGGCAGCAGGGAGTGGGTGCGATGGGGCTCGGTTGGGTGTGGGCAGCAGGTGACCTGTTGCGTCTCCTCTCACGACAGTGGTGCCCTTGTTGGAGGCCCTGATAGATAGCCAGGGAGATGCGGGTTGATCTCCTGCATCTCAACTTCTGGGTAAAGGCCACACAATGAGGATGCTGGGTGTCTGTGCTCCTCGGGTGCTCACCAAACCCTGGAGACTACCTGGGCAGCTGCTCTGTGGGGTGTTTGGTCTGCGCTTGCCTCCCCTCAGACCTATCTCACGTGCGGTGCTCTCTGTCGCAGGTGGCAGGACTGCGGGGTTTGATCCTGCGCTCCCAGCTCATCGTTCTGCTGAAGCACAAGGTGGGTGCTCCCGTGTGGAGGGAGATGCTGGGCTGTCCGTGCTGTGTCAGAGCCCCGGTGCCCCTGCCCCACTGCTTCCCCGGGCCCTTTGGTGCCTGCCTTGCTTAGGAGGAGCTGGCAGAGGGTCCCCGTTGTGTCCCTCCGGGGCACTGCCCCAGCTCTGCGGGGCTTGGTGGGACTGGCACCCGCTGCAGGTGCTCAGTGGTGCTGGCTCCCTGGCAGTCTCTCCCTTTCCCAGGTTTTTGTGGAAAGGGCCAACCTGAGCCTGGTGCAGCGGCGGGTGAAGCTGAAGGATTTCCGGGACGCCTACCCACGCTTCCCTCCCATCCAGTCGATCCACGTCTCCCAGGACGAGCGCGAGTGCATGATGGACCTGAGCGAGTTCATGAACCCCTCGCCCTACACGGTGCCCCAGGTAATGCCTCGTGGCCCAGCCTGTGCCTGAGATGGCTCCCAGCAAGCTCTGGCTGGGACTTGGCCCCCACTGGGACCACGGGTGGACAGCGGAGGCCAGCCCGTGCCAGCTGGGGCTGTCGCAGCCCACGCAGCTCTGCTCTGCCTTGCAGGAGGCCTCGCTGCCGCGGGTGTTCAAGCTGTTCCGGGCCCTGGGCCTGCGGCACTTGGTGGTGGTGGACAATCGCAACGAGGTGAGTCCCTGGGGCCACCGGGCACCGCTTGCAGGTACCTTCCCTCCCTCCGCAGCCTGGGCTCCTCGTGGGGGTGCTGCTGGTGTCCCCAGGCTCTCCCTGCTCGCTGTGGTGGGGGTCTTAGGTTGTGCCCTCTCCCTGCAGGTGGTGGGCATGGTCACCCGCAAGGATCTTGCCAGGTACAGGCTGGGGAAGGAAGGACTGGAGGAGCTCTCCCTGGCGCAGACGTGACGTGGGGTGCTGCTGTCCAGCAGAGCGTCGCGCTGGTCCCCAGCACTCCGGCTGCTCTGAGACCAGGACCCTTATTTTGCTGGAGGCAAGGAGAGGACTGGGCCGGCCAGTGCAGGCATCGCGGTGCCTGGAGCACCAGTGTGGCCCCCCTGCCCTGGCTCTCCTGTGCGTCGCCGTGTTCCTATTTCTAATGGCTTCTCTTCTCCGGGCCTTCTCTTTTCCCCTCCCTCTACTTCCCTGAGGGATCAAAATACACTGTTGGCTTTGTTAGCTCCTGCTGTAGGGCTGTGCCAGAAGTTGGGTCAAGGCTGGAGCGTGTCCTGGGGGAGCTGAAGAGCCCTGCTGAGCTGGCCACCATCTCTCTGCCGCTGGCACCTTTCCTCCCGTGTTGGCTCTTCCATCCAGCCCCCTCCAGCCAGGGCCCCGAGCCCTCCCCGAGCCCTTCCCTTGGGTGGCACCAGGCGCCTGCGTGGAAGCAGGAGAGGTGGGGAGAGCCCCGTTCCCCCTCCGCCTCGAGCAGAGGGCTGCGCCCTGCTCTGCTGTGCAATAAAAGGGCTCGCGTGGTCCAGCCGCTGCCGCCTCTGCTCTTTCTTGGTGCCCTCGGCCACCCTGCCCCAGGGGAGC